TAGTTCTGCCTCTCTCCAAAGCCTAGTGGTAGTAAGTTCTTTTTCCTCACTATTTGGTTTGTGTTCTGTTGTCACCAAAGAGGTGATGATGGGATTTTATTGGTATTACTTGGAAATAAAGTCAAATGATGGTGTCTCAAGAAAACCCCTACCTGAGACGAGGTGTGAAGGATGGTGGATCTGGAAGCAGCACTGCAGGGATCAGCCTGGCACGTCCCTCCACCAGGCACACACAGCCCCGGGTGTCACACCCCATCAACGTGGCCACAACATTCCTGGGGCCGACTTTCACAATGGCGTGAGTCAAACGAAACGCACGGCAGGGTAAGCCCAGAGTGAAAACAATAATTACCTCATCTGTCCCAGGCCCCAATTAATAATGGTATCGAAGAGAAAACGAGCCCTACCTGTGCATTACAGGCTGTCGCACTCCCTTTCCTTACACCGATGGTGAGGCAGGATGGACACAGCCCAGTTGGGCACCTCTCCCCGGGGACACTGGTGGGCCCTGTGCTGTCACCTCCAAGTGACAACACCTCAGGGAACCCCATTTTGGCACCGAGGTGTCGTCCACCAGGGTAACCTGCAAGAAAAGCCCTCCCCATGGCCTTACACCAACAGCCCCAACACCCACAGCTCGGGCAGAACCAGTGACGAGCCCTTATCGGGCACTGCCCAACATTCCTCATTGCACCCATGTCAGTGAGGGACAGGGGAGGAGGAAATACAGGTTTTCTGGCATTTCTGCTCATATTTCCTGCTGAAATTACTGTTTGCCAGGCTCAGCGCTTCCACTGTTGCCCAACTCGGCAAGTACAACTCCTCGCAGAGGAAGAAGATAATCCCATTTGGGAAAATAAACCAGTAAAAGTGGGTGACACAAGCTGGGGCTCTCAGGTGACACGGGCCAAGGTCACAATCCGAGGCTCATAAAGCTGTTGCTCTGCCTAATTACAGCAGGGATGTGTCCATGGCTGCCCAGCACAAAGCCTACATGGGGAAGGAGATAGGAGACCAGAACCTCCCCCAGTGCCCATTGAACAGAAAGAAATGAAAAGCAATCAGAACTGGTTTCCCAAATACCTGTTCTTTATGGGTCAGTTCCCCACACTACATCTTCTGTCGGCAACTCGCCTGGTCAGTCCCTGTACGTGGATTGCAAAGGAGAAATTCAGAGCAAGCAAAATTCCCCCCCTTCCAACAAAAGGCCTTTTTCCTGTGGAATCCTCCCTGCTCTCCCCGCAGGGTCAAGGATCTTTTGCGCAACCAGTTTGATTTTTGCTTCCAAATCTCACTGAATTCCTCTTCCCTCCGCTGGTATGGGCCCAGCGGGGGCGTGAAACACAAGTTCAGGGTTTACATCCCTCACTACCTTAACGTTTAAGCAACCACTTTGTACACAATAATGTTTTATTATTCACCTCCCAAAAAAATAGAAGTGCTGGCTTAAAAAGTATTGCACGTAAGCGTGGCGTGAGATAGCCTCAAAATAAAAACAATAAACGGGGGTGATGGGAGTATGAAAAAGCTATCAGCTCTGACACCACCCAAATCTGTATTATTTTTTTTAATTTTGAATGTTTCTCGTGACTTATGAGCCACACTGTTAAATACCTGCCAAAACAAAACCTCATGTCTTCACCGTACTCCCTCAGCACCAGTTTCACTTGCCACATGAAATGAAAGGCCAGGGGAAGTGTAACCTCAGATTTTGCACGTTTCTGCCTGAAAACAGCAAGGAGAGGGGACACCGTGGGATGCAGAGAGTGAGGACCTTCCCTGCCCACTGTGTTTGTGTCCTCTGTTTACACAACCTCCAGGGCTCCAAATAACAAAGCCCTAAGCAGAGGGGCAGAGGGCAGCAGGCCAGCAAAGGGAAGGAGACAACCCCGAAAGGATCAGGCTCTAGAACATAAAGCCAAGCAGCCCCACAACGTGGAAATGGCATTTTCAGAGCCAGGAACCCAGCAGGTTCAAAAATGGGATTAGGGTAATTGAGATTATTCAATTCAGCTTCCTGAATGCAGACAAGATTCATTATTGGAAGGCAACTCCATTCTGGAGCGTTTTCAATTTCTCATTTTGCTTTCAGGTTCCCTCACTTCAAGGCAGATGGAAATTCAAGCAAGACCTAGGACCTACAGCAGCCACTAGAAGAGTTCCAGAGAGTCAGAACCCCCTCACACTGAGGATCCTGAATCCTGGGAGAGAAACGCTGTGAAATGCACTGGATCCACACGTTTCTCCTGCTGAAGGAGCTCACAAGGCTCCCACAGACGCTCCCTCCTCAGATACATCCCTGGTGTTTGCATTTTATTTTCTTTTAATAGGACAAACTGCCCCATAAAGAAACGCTTTACAGCCGGAATCAACTCCTGCTAATTGGAGGTTTTGAAGGCTCCCTGAGGAAGCTGGAAAGGATGGTGCTTTTTTTGGTGGTGTTGTTTTTAAGGATGTAGAGGAGACTACATGTATTGCTCACAGTCTGGAGAGAAAAAAAAAAAAAAGCAACTATAATTATTTAAGCCCAACAACACGGCTCAGTGGAACACAAGACACTGCAGAGCACCAGGTCCCTGCACGGGGAAAGGTTAAAAGCCAGGAGTCAGTTGGTGCTGATGATGTCTGTGACTCGTCCCACCGTTGGTCTAACACCAAAGAAACCACTGTGTGTATAAAACACCCCTCCTCATCCCAGGCAGGTGGTTTTCAGCTCTGTGTAAGCATCAACCATCTCTGAGTGGTGCACTCTGACCACATCCACTCCGCTCGGGAGACCAGAAAGCTCAGAGGAACACTCTGCCCTGGAAGAGGCTGATTATTTTTTGCTGATGAGTTAGTGAGAGCAGTGAAAAATCAGTGAAAGTGAGCCCAAACCCCTCGGTTTCCAGATGACATCCCAGGGCAGGAGAGCGTGGATGAGACAAACTGAAGGAGGAATGAGAACAGGAGCCTTTGGAAGCTCTCAGAGGGTTGGTACCAACAGTCAGAAGCATCAGAAGTGACACCCCCCTCTTCTCTGCTAACATCCAGCTGCAGCTCATCAGGCATCACGTCTCGGGTACCACAGGGAGCAGAAAAACCCCAAACATAAGCCAGGATTGTGATCCATCAGGGCACATTCCATATTAAACCAACACCACAGAAAATTAGGAGGCAATCTGGGTAATGTTTTCCCTTTTCCTTTGCTTTGCTGCAGTAAGTGGTTATTTTCTCTGCGGTGGCCCCACCTCCTATAAAGGGACTTGTTTAGAATATGCTGGTTGGGCTGGGGTTGCCCCAGTTCATTCTTTCATTTAAAAAGAGAGTTCCCCTCCTCCTGCACGGGGCGGCTGGCGACACGCACGGCCCAGAAACCCACGCGCAAGGCACATTTAAGAAGCTTAGCCCATGCTCCATTACCATATTTTATTACTAAAGTAAGAAGAAACGATTATTAAATCCAATCTAGATTGGATTTTAAGATTACCCAACAACAATAGTTTGAGGAATCTGTTTACGTGGCTTTAACAAAAGGCATTAAACAGAGTCTGAAAACCTGAACCAAACTCCCCCTCAATAATTCACTTGTTATTTAAAGTCTGAAACAGACACAATATACATTAGTCACCTCCCTGCACGGAGCTATTTTTACCCCAAGATAAGACTCCAGACACTCAAAGGGCCCTACTTACCCCCCCCCCAAGCTGGGGAACTACCCCAGCAGCCGGCCCCGTGTCCAAGCTGGGGGCAGCACAGGGGGTGATGAAGAATGAGGAGGAGGAGGACTCCTCACCGAGCCTTCAGCCTGTGCCGTCTGCTGTGATCTTACGATATTCCACCACTCTGAATACAGCAGTTTCCAGTCTCAACACATTTTTTGCATAATTGTCCTTATGTCACATTAAATATGAACTATTCCACTGAAAGGCACGCTCCTCTCAACAGCAAACAGGACTTTTACTTTTAAAGCAGAAACACAAACTGGTTTCTAGAAAGAGTAACTGAATTTCTACCCGTACTTCCCCTCGGAAAAATAAATCTATTTATAAGCTTGAATACACTAACATTTCTGAAGCTTTTCAGACCACAACATCCTCACTCGAAACCCACGTATTTGAAGCAAAAAAGTTCTGAACTCATCCAGGATATATAGGTGAGTGGGTCAGAGATAATCAATGCCAGGGCTAATAAAACCATGCCCTTGATTTACTAACCAGAACATACCCAAGAAATGGCATAATGCTTAAAGGCACTTCTTGGAGCCCAAAGTGAGCCTTTCTGTAACACGCTGACTCTTCCCATAAAAATTTAAAGTAAAAAAAAAAACACCATCATTTTACACCCCAAATCCTCTTTGAGCATTTTGCTTATTTTCCACTTCACTATGTTTTTTTTTTTTTAACAATAATACACAATTCCTGCAAATATATCCCACCTAGAAGAAACACAACACAGCTCTTCCCCACTCCTCTTCCACAACGAACCGGGTTAATCTTGCTTTGGTACAAGCCTGATGAAAAGCTCTCCCAATGCTGGAACCAACTCCAGTCTAATTTCAAGACAAAGGCTACACAAGCAAAAAGAAAAAAAATAAAGAAAAAACGCTGTTGCCATACGAGGAGACGTTTCTCCCCAGAAGATTGCTACCAACGTGCTGTTATGCTGTACCCTGCTCTGTAACCAGCCACTCTGCAGTAATAAAAAAAAAAAAGAGCTGTCAAAAAAAAAAATAAAAAATCTGTGCAGCCAAGAACAGACTAGAACGGTAAAAACAATACGCCCGGATCAAACGCGTTACGCACGCAGCCTTCGCTCCCCGAGCTCCCAGGTTTAGCTCAGTGTTTATATCATGTGGATGCTACAGAAACATGAATATTCCAGCACTATTTAACCTGAAACCCTTCTAAACAGAGATGCTGCTACTTCTTTACACTGCCTGGCAGGGATTCGAGCGAGGAAAAAACCAGAATATAACAATCATTTCCCGTGCAACGTTACAAAACCATTATTTTCTGCACCTTTCTCAACTCCGGGGTCGGTTTCCTGGGGAATTCAACGCTGCTCTCGGCGGAACCAGACACTCTTCGGTTTACCATTAACCAGTATTTTCCCTTTACAGCCTTCCCGTCCCCTCCCTGTGACGGGGGGGGGACACACAGCCCCATCTTTACCGTTCCGGGCTCTGTTCCTCCCGTACCGTCCCCGTAGCCCCCACCAGGAGCCGGAGAGGAGGAAGGGGCAGGTATTTCCATCCTGCCCAGCAGCCTCCCCCCGCCCCCAGGAGCG